CAATGTCTCTCTGCGTCTCCGCGATTTTCCTTTCCGCAACGTCTCTCTGCGTCTCCGCGATTTTTCTTTTGACAAAGTCTCTCTGCGTCTCCGCGATTTTCCTTTTCGCAATGTCTCTCTGCGTCTCCGCGATTTTCCTTTTCGCAATGTCTCTCTGCGTCTCCGCGATTTTCCTTTCCGCAACGTCTCTCTGCGTCTCCGCTATTTTCTCTCTGCAACTTCTCGAGTAGGTTCTATCTCCAACTCTCTAACGATTTTTCTCTACGCTTCATCCAGTGAAATTTCTCGTTACAATTCTGACTTCCAGTGCAGCCTCTTACGAAACTTCTTCGTAAGTATCTCGGAAAACTCTTTCTCTGTTGCTCCGTCGGTGACAGACTTAGAAGACTTTTTGTGAATTGTCTTCTTCCATTTCTTTGATATTGCCGCGGATTCGTCGATGTCTTTGCCAAGCTGCAGCCACACGACGTCGCAGAAGGTATCCGTCATGAATATGAGGTGAGTCTAAAGCAATTCCAGACATTTTCTTTTCCAGCGATCATATTTGTAATGCAATATGGCATCGTGCTGTATTTTGATAATAATGACGATGATAATACTACTAAAAATAACAATGATAATAAAATCACTACTACTACTACTACTATTACTAATATTACTATTACTACTAATAATAACAATGATAATGCCAATAATAATAATGATAATGAAAATGATAATAATAATGATAATGATAATGATAATAATAATGATAATGATAATGATAATGACAATGATAATGATGATGCTAATGCTAATGCTAATGCTAATAATGATGATAATGATAAGGATAATGATAATGGTGATGATAGTAATAATAATAATGATGATAATTGTCATAGTAATGAAGATAATGATAAAAATTAAAGTAATAATCATGAAAATAACAATGATAATAATAATAACTATAGTAATAATGATGATAATAACAGCAAAAATAACAGCAATAATAATTACCATCATCTTCATCATCATCATCTCCCCTACACATCCTTCCTTCTTCCGTCCTATAAAAATCCTGTTCAAAATGACTCTCTCGGAAAAGCTCCTGATGTTATAAATCCTACCGTCTCCATTGCGTAGGGATTATTGGGTATTACTGACCCTGTTGAGCATTTGCATACAAAGACGTCGTTGCGTATAGTCTCTCAAATCACAAAAGTATGGTAGGTCCTTTAAGTTCAAGTTGCTTTTATTCCTATTTTTCTTTTTCTTTTTCACTTTTTTTTTCTCCCACTTCGTCTCTCTTAATACTTTGCTACTCTTCTTATTCTTAAAACCTTTCTCGTTACTCCTTCTCTCTCCTTTTTCCATGTCTTCTCCGTTCATGCTTTTTGTATAGTCGAGTCTCTACTTTAGATTCAGTGCTATTTATGTACCTCTTTTCTTCTTTCTTTCTATTTTTTTTCTTTCTCCTTGCTCTTCCTTTATTACCTTACTATTATGATTTCCTTTTTCTCATTATTACCTTTATCATTATTTTTTGTATCGTATTTTTCTATGATAAAAAATAATTTCTTTTTTATATTATCATTATTTCTTCTTTACTATAATCATTATTTCTCTGCCTTTCATTAATATACTAGAATATTTATTCCTTTGCCCTTACATTACATCAACAGAAAACCAAAAGTTGATTCCAAATGTTTCATATAAGTTGTACAGAATCTACAGAATCTACGAGTGGAGGAAGTCTGTCCCGTGTGTCACGAGACTTGAGAGTTTCGTATCTAATTTGGCCATCTTTTGGGCCGCGTCTCTCCCCTGTTTGTTCTTCTTGCTCGATAAAGTGGCTCTTGGCGGATCTTTTCACGCGGATTTCGGACCGGATATTCTTGTCAGTCTCTCTCCTTTCTTTTCCTGTCCGTACATAACTGTATATCTTTTTTTATGCAGGCTTGTGCGTGGGTAGTAACTTGTCGGAAAAAGATAAACTAAATATCGGTCATTTTAAAGGGATGGTATTTTTTGTTAACATATCAAAGGCGCTGTTGCATCTCATCACAATTTAATTGCTTTCAATTTTTGGGCGCCGGGAAGAATGGGCGATGATGGCCGAGGTCTGTTCTTAAGACCTTGTTGAAGGCCTCCCTCTGGTTCTCCGGAATGGTGCTTGCGCGTGTGTGGCGAGCGGAGGTCGGACGCCTCTATCGAAGGCCATTGCTTCTCGCGGGCTTCCCTTATTTTAAAAGGAGACTGGAATCAGCACTAAAGTGAAGCACAACTCCCTTTTAGCTGAACTTAATGAACCAGATTTTATCCTTATCAACATAAATGTTTATATTAGGTACTTCGCAGTGTATATGTTTGCAGAAGATTTACGCTGTAGATACACCTTTGCAGCATTCGCCTGATAAAACGGTACTGTCTATTTCCCCTGAATCTGCTTGCGTATCGGAAGGCAAAGCAAAACCCAGATGGAAAAAAACGCGACCTTTTTTCCTTTGCATACATATGCTCGGTCAATAGGATATTGGGAAATACTTGCCCGAAAGAAGCTGCGTAAACGTGCACTAACATCCTCTCTGCCATTCAGCTGATCAAAGGAAGGAGACGAAGAAAGAGGAAAAGAACTGGGAATCAAGATATAGAGGAATCTTGTAAATTTATATAATAACTGGACGCACGCGCGCGTGTGTAAGTGTGTGTGTGTGTGTGTGTGTGTGTGTGTGTGTGTGTGTGTGTGTGTGTGTGTGTGTGTGTGTGTGTGTGTGTGTGTGTGTGTGTATTTGTGAGTGTTGAAGCGTCTGTATGCGATGATGCCTACTAGTCTATCTACCGATCTATCTACATGTACACATATACACGAGTATATTATCTACGTGTATTCACGTATGCGCATCTTTTCATACTCCTCCTACATAGCAAAGCAAGGCAACTGCCAGAAGCCCCTACTTTGTGTCCATCGGCGAAACGATGAAGAGCTCCACGTCCCCGCGTCTGCTGGCGTTGAGGGTGATCACCGCCTGCACGTGTTCCAGGTAGTTGACTTCGGTGTCGCTCCAGGCACAGGCGTCCGTCTCAATCTTGATTTCGATGGTCTCGTTCACGCTGATCTTCCTGTTGGGGGGGAGGGGGGGGGAAGTCGGGGAGGCTGTTAGATAGTGTGGGCCTGTTGAGGTTATTGGTTGGGGCTTCGTGAATGGGCGCTGTATTTTGTAATGAATTGGATTGATTTATGCATTTTAGATATACAGAAAGAAAACTTTAGCTGTTTATTCTTAGATAATCTCAATATTCTCTTTCTTAGTAATATGTTTGAAGCCCAAATGTTAGTTGTGTGCCATTTTATACTAAATTAGTTTTGTAAGAAAATATATTTCGATGCACAATGCTTCCTGATTTATAATTAATCGACAGGGAGATGCACGAAAGGTGCGAGAAATTTCCTTTATTGGGTCGGTGGTCCAAGACACAATTTGATAATTCATAAAATATTCTTTTTGGAAGATAAAACACCTGTCTCAGTGAAATATGATATTAACTAGACCGCCAAAAAGCAGTGTGAAAGATACATCATCTTTGGGTTGCGCGTGAGGACGTTTTTGGCACGAAAGTAATCAATTCTCTCCTTCTCCACCTCTCACGCACCACCTTCCGCCCGCACCCTTTCTCTCCCTGCCTTCTTCTTATACACACAAAACCATCAAACTCCTAAAGCATCAGACGAATACCAGAGCCACCGCCGGACACGCTACCAACCTGGGTGTCTGGTAGATCCCGGCCTGGCAGTGGTACCTCGGCGGGACGGTGACCCAGTCGCGGGCCAGAGCCACCATGGCGCCCGCGTCCAGCACACCGAAGCCGAACAGATGGTTGAATTCCAGACCAACGCCATTCATGTGCCAGTCGTAGCGGTGCTTGGCGTCGAAGAGCGAGTTCCTCTTGCTGGTGAGGACTGTCAGGTGCTGGATGTCTCGCCAGGTCAGGTTGGGGCTGGGGGAGAGACACGAAATTAGGGAGGGGAGGAGAAAAATGAAACGGTGGGAGAACGTTTAAAGGGAAAGAATGGATTTGATTGGTTGGCTGGTTTAATGAAGAAAGATTTTTGAGATATAGTTATTCCTCTCCTGGGTCTCCTTTTCCCCTTTCAACCTTTGTATCTCTATGCATCAATCTTTCTTCCTTTCCGTTTCTTACTCTCCCCCCCTCTCTCTCTCTTTCTTTTCATTTCTCTTATTCCTTCTCCTCCCCTCCCTTTCTTCCTCCTTCCCTCCTTCCCACCCGCTTACCCTCTCTCCCTCCCTCCCTCCCTCCTCCCACTCTCCCATCTTCCTTTCCCTCTCTTTCCTCCCTTCTTCCCCTCTCTATTCCCCTTTTCCTTTATCCCCCACCCTTACTCCTCTTTCTCCCCCTCTTACTTGGCTTCCAGGGCGAGAGCGAAGACACCTGCAGCCTCAGGAGCGGCTGCGGAGGTACCTGAGTGGGTCTTCGTGCACTTTCCGTAGAGGTCCGTTGTAGCCTGGAACAGCGAGTAGCGGTTTGTTGTTGTTTTTTTTTTCTTATTCTTAAAAATATTATCACTGTTGTTGTTATTATTGTTGTTATCATCACTGATGATGATGATGATGATGATGATCATGATAATAATAATAATAATAATAATTACAATGATGATAATGATAATGATAATAATAATAATAATAACAATAATAATAATAATAATGATAATAATAATAATAATAATAATAATAATAATAATAATAACAGTAATAATGATAATAATAACAGTAATAATAACAATAATAATAATAATAATAATAATAATAATAATGATAATAATGATGATGATTGAATGATTGCTGGTGATGATGATCATAATGGTGATAATAATAGCAATGATAATAACATTATATCATTATTAAATCTATTACCACTATTATCATTATGCTCATTGTTATCCTTTTTATTAAAATTACTATATTATCATTATTATTATTATTATTATTATTATTATTATTATTATAATAACCATTGTTATTATCATTATTATTATTATTATTATTATTATTATTATTGTTATTATCACTATTATTATTATTATCATTATTATCATTATTATTATTATTGTAATTATTATTGTTATTATCATCATTATTATTATCATTATTATCATTTTTATCATTCATACTATTATTATAATTAATACCATTATCAATATTACTATTATTATCATTATCATTATTATTACTATGATTCTTATCATCATCATTATTATTATTATTATCATTATTATTATTATTATTATTATTATTATTATTATTATTATTATTATTATTATTATTATTATTATTATTATTATCATTATTATTATTATTATTATTATTATTATTATTATTATTATTGTTATTATGATTGATATCATTGTCATCATTACCACTACTACTAATACTACTATCATATTATTATTATTATTATTATTATTATTATTATTATTATTACATTTTTTACTACTTATAGAAACATTGCTATTACTGCTATATTTTTATGATGACCATTATTACTATAACTATTATCTTTTACAATGATGTTTATCATTATTGATATCCCAGTGACTCACTTAACACGCATGCATCTCTGCCACGGTGACTCATGATCAGAACTTACCTCGCAGGTGAATCATAATAAACAAATGGAATAAAGTCTAATAATTTGGCAATGACTCACGACCCAAGACACAGTCACAGAAACTCATAACTCTACAACCGCTGATCCAATGACTCCGACTCACGGCGGACGACTCACAGTCCACGACTTACAACTCAAGAGTCACGACAGCTCACTGCTCACGAATCAATAATCACGACCTACGACACACAACTCACAAACCACAACCAAAAACAACTCACAATCTACAACTCACAACCTACAAGTCACAACCCACAAGAGCTCACAACCGCTACAACCCAGAGCTCGCGACTCACCACGCCTGTGCTGGGGTCCTTGGCTCCGTTGCTGAAGGTGGAGGCGAGGGTGGAGGAGCAGGACTCGTCGTAGTGCGCGTTGGAGCCGTCGTTAATGGCCGAGTTGATGGAGATGGTCCACATGGAGGCCGCGTAGCCGTCGCAGTTGCAGTCGTCGTCCTCGCCTCCGTCGCCGGAAGCCCACACGTAGATGTTCCCGAGGCCGTTGCGACCCTGGCGGGAGAGGGTTGCGTTAGGTCTCTGTATTTTTATTAGTAGGAGTAGTGTTCTTTTTTTAGGTGTGTGTGGTTGTATCGTTTTTTTCTGGTTTGCTTTTTTTTTGTTTGTTTGTCTAGCGTTTTCTCTTTTTTCTTTTATGTTTGTGTTGTATAAATTTCTTTCTTTCTCTCTCTCCTTCTTTCTCTCTCTCTCTCTCTCTCTCTCTCTCTCTCTCTCTCTCTCTCTCTCTCTCTCTCTCTCTCTCTCTTCTCTCTCTCTCTCTTTCTTTCTTTGTCTCTCATTTTTTCTCTCCCTCTTTCTTTCTCCTCCTTTCTCTCTCTCTCTCTCTCTCTCTCTCTCTCTCTCTCTCTCTCTCTCTCTCTCTCTCTCTCTCTCTCTCTCTCTCTCTTTTTCTTTCTTTCTCTCATTTTTTCTCTCCCTCTTTCTCTCTCCTCCTTTCTCTCTCTCTCTCTCTTCCTTGGAACGAGGCTGAGAGTCGCACGACCAGATAAAGTCGTTTCGGATTACAGGCTATTAGTGCCAGTATCTGTTGGCAAAGGCTCCGAGTGGTTTATTATACCCTTAATAAGTTATTACCTTTGCCCAATACGACTGAGACAAGCTGATGTTATGACTCCAAATACAAAAAAAAGCTCACAAAAAATTAATTTGAAATCAAGGTAAATTTGGAGATATTTCGGAAAAAAATACATTAAGAACTGATGTAAATACATTTACTAATGTGATACGTTCTGAATGAATTATGAAAAAGACATTGGAGAAGAAAAGATTAAAAAAGTCGTAAAGCGCACTAGCATGACACGTTCATAATCTCGCAGCAAAGTAAAGCCAAATGTGTCTATTCTGTTACATATTTCAACACTTAATGATCTAGCGGACCAATTATAGAAATATATTAAAAAAATAAACAAAAGCAAAATAATACAATCGCTGTAGTTTTCGAGCGATTAAAGTAAGAAGGAGAAGTAGAAAGAGAAGAAAAGGAAAAAGAAAAGACGATCGCATGGCGCACCGTGATAAAGTAAAACCAAATGTGTTTTTTCTATAATTGTTAACACATTTCAAAACTTAATAATACAGCAGACTAATAGTAAAACTGAAAAAAATGCGCAGATAAATAAAAAAAATAAAACAATCGGTGAGGTTTTCAAAAGATTAAAAAAGGACAAGAAGAAGAAGAAGAAGAAGAAGAAGAAGAAGAAGAAGAAAGAGGAGGAGAAGGCGCACCGTGACACGATCGTAATCTTGCCAAATTACTCAAGTTGCAAGACTTACTTCGCTCCTAAGTTGATAAGCAACCTCCAAACCCAGCTTCAATAAACCGCAATAAGTCAGGGTTTATACGACAAAGTTATTTTCGGTTTATTTTTCCAACGTCTGGAGTACGAAGAAGAGAGAACGAGAGAACGAGTGTGAGTGAATGTGTGTGTATGTGCGTGCGAAAGAGATATAGAGACAGACGGACGTAAATTGAGATAGAGAGAGCGAGATAGAGTGAGATAGAGAGGTTGATTTAGATAGATAAACAGATGGAAAGATGCATATAAAGAGAGATAGATAGACAGATAGACAGATAAATAAAGTAGATGGAAAGATAGATAGATAGACAGATAAATAAAGTAGATAGAAAGATAGATCAACAGACAGATACAGATATATAAACAGATGAAAAAAAGTAGATAGAAAGATAGATACAAATACTGACAGATAGAAAGGTAGACAGAAAGAGATTGATAGACTTGCACACAGACAGACAGACAGATATAGAAAAAGACAGATAGATAGACAAAGAGAGGGAGAGAGAGCTAACGAGCAAGTGAGAGACAGAGACAGAGAGACACCCCGAGGTCTAGCATGAAGCCGTCCTTTTTGAAGCCAATTACGGAGAATCTTTTGAATAAATTCCAAATAAATTGGTTCACACACTATTATAAAAATGCTAATACCCAGCCCCCCCCCCCAGCCCCTGAAAAAGGATATTACTTTTAAAAAAAAATCTCGGTATAAAAAAAAATGTATTTGTCGCTTCCGAAAAGAAAATTTGAATCATGTCACCCGTTTTGAGGACAACTTTGACGTATGTAATATCAAAGCAGATTTTCTTTTTCTTTTCTTTTAATGGAGATTGAACAAAAAATATTAAATAAAATAATCATGGTAATAATTAAAGTTAATCATTGTAACATAATTTAAATAATAATAAAAAGATAAAATTATAATTAAATAATAATTACATAAAAATAATGGGATTAAATAAAAATATGGAGAAGATAGGAAATGAAGGATCTTGATGAAAAAAGGGAGTAATGATAATAATGATGATGGTGATGTAATATGATAATGATAATAATGATAATAATGGTAACAATAACGATAACAATGACAAAGATGATAATAATAACAATATTAGTAATCATTATTATAGTTATGGTAATCATTACCATTAATACTACTATTATTATTATCATTATAATTATCATTACCATCATTATAAGTATCATTATTATAATTATTATCATCATTATTTTCATTGTCATCATTATTATCATTATTACTATTATCATTATTATTATCATTATTATTATTATCTTTATTGTTGTTATTATTATTATTATTATTGTTTTTATTATTATCATTATTTTTATTATTGTTATTGTTATTATTATTATTATCATCATCACTACTATTACTATTATCATTATAATAATAATGATAATAATGATAATCATAGTAATAATAATAACAATAGTAATAATAATAATAATAATAATAATGATGATAAAATATTATTATTATTACTATTATCATTAATATTATTATTATTATTATTATTATTATTATTATTATTATTATTATTATTATTATTACTATTATCATTATTATTATTATTATTATTATTATTATTATTATTATTATTATTATTATCATTATTATTATATTGTTATTATTATCATTATCATCATAATCTCTATTCTCATAATTATCATTATTGTTATTATTATTATTATTAGCGTTATCATCATTACCCTCAATTATCATAAACCTTATTATTAATAATATCATTGTTAACGTTGTTATTATTATTACTATTATTATTATTAGTATCATTATTATTATTATTATTATTATTATCATTATCATCATTATTCTTATTATCATTATAATTATTATTATTATCATCATTATTATTACTATTATTATTAGCATTATCATTATTATTGTTATTATTATTATGTTTATTATTATCATTATTATCATGATCATCATTACTATCATTATTATCATTATCATTGTTATTATTATTATTATTATTATTATTATTATTATTATTATTATTATTATTATTATTATTATTACTCTTTTTCTTTCATTTATATCTGTATTCCGCCTTTTCTTTCACCTACTGTTACTCTACTTCTTTCCCTTTCCCCCTTTTTCTCTGTCTCTCTCCTCCTGTCTGCTTCCCTCCCTCGCCTTTCTTTTCCTCTGTCTCACTGTTCTAACTTCTCTCCTGTCTTTTGTCTCTGTCTTCCTTTTTCCTTCCTTTTCTCTCTGTCTCTTCCTTTCTATTCGCTTCTCTTTTTCCAGTCCTCTCTCTTCTTCTCTTTGTCTTTTTTTCTTCTCTTTTTATTCTCAGACCCCTATCTCTCTCTCTCTCTCTCTCTCTCTCTCTCTCTATCTATCTCTCTCTCTCTCTCTCTCCTCTCTCTCTCTCTCTCTCTCTCTCTCTCTCTCTCTCTCTCTCTCTCTCTCTCTCTCTCTCTCTCTCTCTCTCTCTCTCTCTCTCTCCCTCTCACTCTCTCTCTCTCTCTCTCTCT